TCGGCAAGAATATTATTAATCATGTTAGCAGTTTCTTTGAAAATTGGTTTCGGTAAAATGGCATAATGTTTAGGATTATTCAGTTGATTCTCTGCTTCTGAAACGTAATCCTCCCTATTCAGAATGACACAACATGAACCTTTGTCACTCTTTTTAATAACAATGCTATCGTCTTTCTTAAGTTTAACGCTTCACGTTCCACTCGTGTGAGATTAGGCTTTTCGTGTGTTATGGAAAGGTTCACTGTTTGGCTATTCATACTAGCAAATGCTTTCAATATTTCAGGATGGATGGCGGCCTGAGGGGGTGTCCACGTGGATTTAGGAATAAACATTGTTCTAGCACCACGTGGGGGTGGTTTCGAAAAAAATATGTGCAGCTAAGATTTCGTTGAAATCGTTCAATGGATGGTCGGAGATAATTCAAGTTAGCTATCTTTGGTGTGGGAATAAACTTAAGTCCACGGTCTAAGATTGAATGCTGAAGGGGTGTGAGAATTTTGCGGCTCAAGTTAACTACAGTTTGGCCTAGCGGTGGCCTCTCAGTATTTTTATCCCCAGTAATTAGTTTAAAGACTTACTCGATGCTTGAAGCTGGTGTATCCAAAACAAATAAATGCTGTTTGCTGTTTCTGGAGACCAATGAAGATTATCAACTGTTTCGAATTCTTCTTCGTAAGGTGGTAAGATTGTTGCGCTGTTGATACTGGACTCCATCATCATGTTGTTGAGGGTGCTGAGGTTCTGTTGTGCTTTCTTCGAGATTTTATTTGAAATGGGTATACATTTGAAGAGGATCTTGGAGTTTGGGAAGGTTTTGTTGGCTGTGGTGATTAATTTCTGGGCTTGGTTAAAGGAGGTCTTTTGTATCTGATCACGGTTGTTGAGGCCTACATGAAGAATAATGGTAGTAGGTTTGGGATCATGGTCGTATGATTCCAGGATTGACTGTATGTGATGGATTTGGGCACCGGGGTAAGAATGTATTTCGGTGTCTGAACTGGTTTTGGTAATTCGATTCAGGTTAGATGATCCAATTATTAAGGTTGATTTCTTTAGAGCAGGTAGTTTCCATAATGATTTGTCCTTGGTTTGGTGATAATACGGTTTGGTAGCGGATATAATGGTCGTCGACGGTGTGATTGGTACTGGTTTGGTAGTTGTTAGAATTGTAGCATTGGGAACGGACTGGGATCTGGTTCGAGGAGGGGAAGGTCTGGATACATGTCTCGACTTGGATGGAGACTGAGGGGTGGTTTGCTGGTCCAAAAACGCACAGAAGGAAGAAAGGTTGGCGGATCCTGGATCACGTGGTGAAGATTCAGATGGTGTGGAAGGGGAAGACTAGTCTGAAAGTGAAAAGAGAAGGGGTGTGCCCTCTCTACGAGAGCGTTTACCTATGTCTGCTGGACTAGGGGTAGGTGAACTTCGGGCTCGTTTAGGGGTTTGGTTCGGCAGCGTGGTAGCTCTAGATGGTGCAGGTGTAGTGTCCATTTCAGTTGGTAGAGATATGGTTACTCTGGTTTTTGTTTCGTTGATTGTTTGGTAGAATTTGGAAATTACAGCTTGAGTGAGACGTTTCCCATAGGAGCGACGGGCCCAGGACAGGGCATGAGAAACGATGCGGTCGACGGCAGGTGATGATAAAGACTTGGTACGAATGGTGGTCAGCTTCTCTTGGAGTGTGGTTTGGTAATGGTCGATCAGGACCTGCGTAACCTTACAGAGCCATGTCCGATTGAGGGATCTAATATTCTCTTCGCAGCGAAAAATTAAATGAATGGTGTTTTACATCCTACTTTTTCGATTTCCAGCCGTCGAGGATTTTTTAACATGCACAGTCTGTAGCACACAGGGCCTTGGTCTATTGTCCCATCCGAGCGACTATGCGCTTTTTCCATGTCAGCCCCTCTTACCTGCATCACTGGCAGGGGGAAACCGGGTTGAAAAATCCGAAGGTATTATCTTCGCTTGGAAGTATATATATATATTGATAGTATACATATTATATTTATAAGAATATTTTTTACTCAAATGTCAAATAACAAACAGATTATAGGTAACATTCTTAAATGTATAATGTGATAAATCTTAAAAACGTCGATGAGTAACTGCGATTAGATGTTTTTAATCTCAAGACGTTCTTAGCACACATTGATTTATATAGTCTATGACATAAAACAAACATGATAAAGAAAATTGTCAAGAAATAAGAAATTTCGAAACCGATTATGCGCTAAAACTTGGATAGTAGAAAGGCGCCTCGCATCAGACGTCAGGGATTTCGACTTCACCCATTTCGACGATTTCGTCCAGCCTCCCAATATATGGGGTACAAATAAGGGACAGACTGACTCGGTGGGGACAACTGTTGATGTCGAATTTAAAATGCAGCAACTCTGTGGAGGCGTCTTGTCACAAGCCTATCATAGAAGATTCATACTGTGCATACTTTGGGGCAAAAACATATAAAGTAACATAAAGTGGAGTACTATTCGGGGTGCAAACCGTTTTCCTTGGGGGCAAATGCACCCCCCCCCCCCCCTCCCCTCCCTTATACCCCCACTGGCGCCGCCACTGATTACATTAGAGCTTAGTTTTCCATTAAATATTTCTATCGTTAAATTCACACAATATTATAACATTGGAGATGAGATAAGCGTGGCATAAAACATTATTTTTGTCTATTCACGTAATTATTACATTACTGCCTATAGTTAATATATATATATAATTTATACGGTCTATTTACATATTGCATTGTTAAGGCTAAACTCATAAAATCAAATAACACATTTGAGCTAATAAAAAGCAAAGTAATACATTCCTTCTATCTCTGTCTAATGTTTTGAAATCATTAGGTACGTTTCTTGTATCTCTTATTCATGTTGCAAAGGCATTGGACGTCGTAGAGTTCGTAATAGCTTGACATTTTGAATATGATAACATTGGAGCTCGGAGCAACGTAAGTGTCAAAGTGCATCCTTTAATCAAACGTTACATTGGTACTAATCGCAACGTAACATATTGTAACAATACATTCCTAAACACCAGTTCACTTCTTAGTCGATTTAAGTTAAAACCTTGGCAGTCAGTAAGTTTTGCTGTATCGAACAGCCACCAACCTCCAGTTAACGGTAAGTGGCAATTAGCAACTTTGCAATTCTGGTTGTCGTTGGTGGAGAATTTGTTGTTCTTGGCAACAAGAGGGTACACACCATTTGAACATGCCGCAGACTTATGAGTATATTGGGCTTGATAAAATATAAAGTCTACAAGTCGGAAATTTTTGAAAGTGAAAATACACTCAGAGTATCCGTCTCTGTGCATAACCATTTCTAGCTTGTAGTTGGTACCTCCATTGGTTAAGTGGTAGATATTCTGTAATCCGATCCAGTGTTCAGAGTGAGACAATCCAAATCCGTTCACATAGTCGCTCCATGTGCGGTTAAAATCAACTTCTGTGGCATCTTGACGCCGGACTTGTATTGTAGTAGATCCATTGTCGAAATTGCATAATTCTTCGTTGATATTAGAACCTGGTTTTATATAAGACAACATTGTTCCCGTTAAACCCTTCAACTTTCCTTTATTACAATCTGGAAATATAAAAAATAAGGCGTATTCCTAATATATGCGACACGAATGGTTCACTTTGTTTTCCAAGACATGACATTGTATCGGTGCCGCTACTAGTTTTGGTGCGGAGTTCATTAATGCAACCTTGATATTTTGACAAGAAAATCCTTTTAGAAAAACCTCCAGAGACAACTTCAAAGAGAATTCAGGAAATAATTGGAGCATTATTAGTCAACTTATCAAAGGGTATGTATAGTCAAAACCTTGTCATTCTGGACTACTTTCCAACAGGATTCGCAAATGTCTTTTCTCTGCTAAAGCATCAAATCACTTATTTCCCCTTTTTGGATAATATCAAGGGAAATAACCCAATAACTGTTCATAGGAATGTTGTCAATTTCGAAATTGACTGGGATATCATAAGCATGCATCCCTGGCTGCAAGGAGACCGGAAGAAAACTTTAATTTGCTGCGTTTTGCTCTGCCAAAGGCAATCACATATGGACCAACGGACACATCGTCGATTATTATGATGGTTTTGAAAAAATGCATAACTGCTCCAAGGATCGTCACAATATTTGTCATCAATAAATCAATGTTCTTAAGTCTATTCAAGATAATAGTGTCCTCGATTATCTTAATGTGTGCGTTTTCAGCTAAAATTAGTTACATTCAACACAAAATAAAAATTATACCTTAGAATACAATAATCGGTGAAGTTAGTAAATACCTAATGAAAACATACAAATTTCAATAAGCAAGTTAAGTTTTGGTTTACATTAAAAGCTTCTTGAATGCTTATTGATTTAGGCTTATCTTTTAAATTTATCGATAGAACATTTTTGTTTTATTTAGTAATTATAGATAACTTCGTCTTGTGGTTGGTTGGTAAACATTAGATTCAACTATCAAGAAGAAATAGTTATTGTTGGTTCAGATTGAAAACCAACATCGATAGTGCCATAAAGGTTTTTATCACTAAAGAGTTGTGTTCTCAAGTACAGAAGGCAGGTTCATAAAAACGATATGAACTCGTAGCACAGGTTATACAGGATTTTATTTATAATAAAATGGCCGGGTTCGAATACAGTGAGGCGACCATTTACTAAATCAAGTTAGTCTTGTAGTAGTAGTAGTAGTAGTAGTATTGAACTAGCCTGATTTACCAAATGTTCGCCTCTCAATATATGCCAAAACGACTATTTTATCACAAATAAGGATATTTAGGGCTCTAATTTGCACAAAAAGCATACAACTCCCCCATTTCGTTAAAAGCAATATAAGACGTAGTAAAGGGATTTATAAGGTAACGGTGAAGCAAAATGTGAATGAGTCGGAAATTTTTAGTTAAAAATGCCGCCATCCTGTAAGGGGAGATAACATATAATTATTATTACTTTATTGTGGTCTGGTGGTAGTTGGTTATGAATTCTCTTGCGGAAGCTGCATCATTTCCGGTTAACTCTTTCCGGAAACGCAGAAACCACAGGCATCGGACAAAGAATTGGAGTGTCCGAAATAGAATCAAAGGTCTCCCCGATACACATTACAAGGCTAGAAAACATCTTTACAATCACTTTAATAACTGTACAAATAAGGTCATGTATTGATGTACCATGTAAAGAGAACAGCATGACATTCTTTGAAGTTGATGACTCGGTTAGAATTGAAGGTAAAAGGCATGAAATTGTTCCAAAAACATAATTCTGATTAAAGGTTTTCAATTTAGTAATCACGTGATTGTGTTTACCAAGATTTTTTTTACGCGTAAGGACATTTTGTAGAAACGTTACAAAGAAAGAGAGCAAGAAATAAAAGAAAAATATGCGTTTATTGATAGGCTAGTTGTGTGATAATTAGAATCTTTCACTTACGTAATATGAAATTTATGAAATGAGTTGCCAGTTCCTTGTCGATTCATTTCATAAATTTCATACATAAGTATAAGATCCTCTATTTCTTGTCTCACCTTATTGGTATAACATAAACATTGCATTTTTAGCCACATTTAATTGAACATTATCTTTTTGATACGTGCGTTTGCATAGTCTCTTCCACCACGTAAGTCACATTTCATAATTATTTCATCGATTAGGGGGCGCGGGTTAAGACAAAACGACGGTGCGTCCGGTATTTTTGTTTGAAGCTCGATCTTACACAACCGATTTTTATGTTTATGGTCTATATTTTTTTGATTGAAAATAATATTGATCAACGATATGGAAATATTGATGTTAAGTAATAAACTTTTTAAACTCTCAGGTAAAAAGAGGGTGAATTTGACGACTCAAGGTTATGTTAGAGCGAACGGTCTACTGCGGTCTACTGCCACATATCACGGTACGGCAGCCATTATTTACCGATACTGTGTCTAAATTGACACGTGATCATGTGATTCTTGTAATTTAAATATCAGAGACTGGTCGTTTAGGACTACTAAAATAAGAAAATATAAAAAAAACTTAGGATATACATCCAAAATGATCGTAGCATGAATTATCGCTACACTGATGGTCACAATAAAATATTAAATGCATTACTTTGTGCATATGAAAATGCGAAATACCGGAAGTAAAGAGTCATCGCCCAAGAAGTTCACTATTCATTACTGAGAAAGAAACTGTCAAGGATTGTCCAATGATAAAATACAGAACAACAATTTTAAATCTTTTACAATAGAGAAAACTATATTTCATATCATCATCATCATATCAGTTAAAAACTGAACAAGACAGACTTATATTGTATTTTTTACTACTTAAACTACCTAAACATACAAAATTATGTATGGTTCCTACATGGGAATAACACACTTAACGTAGTTCACAACCAATTTGAATCTCCACCTCGAGTTTTGATATTTCTTTTTTATATCTTTGCTAGACCATAAATATCTAAAACTGTTTTTGTGTTAATGTTGCTTTTAATAAATTTAATCTTGTTCTTTGTCACGGAGTCATTGATTCTTAATAATATAATGTCCTGTTGGAACGGAAAATATACTTAACCTGTTTTCATATCAAAAACTTCCGTTTTAAATTGATGTCGGAGATAATGGGACAAACAAACAGAATCAATACTGACAATCGCAAATCGAAATCAGATGACATGAAAATTTCATTCAGACATCAAGAGAGATCAGCCCTCTCTTATCGAAATTATCAAAGGATCTTCCTTCAGACACAGAAAAAAATCATTTAAGTGAAATTAATATTTAAAAAAAAATTCAGTAAATGGATACTATCTATATATTCCTTTAGCGACATTTAGGAGTAGAGATTACATTAAATAACGGAACACAATTTTATGGTATACTACTCCTTAGTTTTATTACACACGACGTTTCAACAATCTACATTGTCATCTTCAGGTGAAGTGAAGATTTAAGACAATATCATACCTTATTCTAGTCCGACACATCTGCTTCTATTCCAGCCTATGTATAATTACCAAATGTAGTAGAGTCAGTAAAACTAGGTACTGTTATATGGGGATTTACCACACCTTTACTGTATATTAGTGCCGGGGATCATCATTACTTTCCTTTTGTAAAAATAACTGGACCCAACGACCATTCCAGCTTTTGTTGGGCAGACAGTCTTAAATGATGATCGACGAGATTAGTTTCGTTAAAAAGATTTGGTGGAACCACAGTGGTAATATTTGGAGATACTGATGGTATGACTGAACTGCAAAAATAGTAATCATTCCGACAATATCTGGGTTTTGAGGATCCAGAAGACGAGCTTTCGCCATAGAAATCTCCATAATCCCACCAAATCTGCTTTGCTGGCTTGTCTAGAGGATTCACTTAGTTGGCATCTTAAACGACATTCAGGTTGGGAATTGGGGAAGAGGAAAGGAAGTAGGGACGGAGTGGGGTTGGTGGGTAAAGGAGCACTGCATTGTAACTTCACTTACCTCGAATAGTCAACTCGCAATCATTACCATATTTACCAATAGGACAGTAGGTGGTAGCATCGATCACTAGGATTTCCTAAAAATAATATAATCAAATTAATCAAAATAATGGTAATAATAATGATTTTAATAATAATAATAATAATAAAATTAATCAAAATAATGGTAATAATAATGATTTTGATAATAATAATAATAATAATAATAATCAAATTAACCAAATTAATAATAATAATTTGTACATTACCGATCATCCATTGATATATATACATTTTGCAATAATTCAAATTCATCAATTTTATTCATATTATTGTTTTGGTCACGGAGATTATTGTCAGAATAATCAGACAGTGAAGCTTACATTTTTGAAAGCAACATAAGCGTAATAGAAAACTACCCCTGTTTGCCTACTAAGCTTCTTGGAAATCATCAAGCGAGAGTGACCTTGTGGTGTCACTGGTTGCCTCCTAACGGGCAGATTGCTGATCGAAAATGAGATGTATGGTGTATAAAGCGATTTTCTCATCCACTTCAACTGCTTTTCAGCTGACTCTAAAATATACTTAACCGACCACGTCCAGTACGCCAATCCAGAAATATCTAATTCGGAGCTCTCTTGCTCCTGACGAGAAATTCAATGTTCTTTGGTTTATCCCACATGCTTGCTCTTTTGTTCTTTGGTTTATGTCCAAAAAACATGTAAATAAGTGATTGGGCTTTGCTGGAAGCTGTGCATATCAGTAAAGTCAAAGTTTATTAGTGAAAGTCTACGAGGTTTCGATTAAACCTAGCATAAACCTCCGTGGGAGAGATACACCGTTTGATCACTTATATCATGCTGACAGTTTATAGCCAGAGCTGTAGTATACCACGCCCTAAATTGTAAATCACTTATCATTCTAATTAAAAATGATAGTAATAATTGCATAATTGAATAATGACGATTTATAACAATAATAATTTGATAATAATGATTAATAATAATACTTTAATAATGATAAATGATAATA